GACATTGGTCCTTAGGGGTGACCTAATCCAAGCTACATTTCCTATGTGCAGCTGAAGGGCACTTGCTTTGACTCCCAGCACCATCCCACCCCACACAGCCCCTGCCCCAGCTGTGAATTCCAGTTTGAACCCTGGAAACTGGGAAGAAACTCCTCACGTATGGGCACAACCAGCCTCAGGCTGCTCATCCCCAACTCCTCAAGAAGCCACCAGAAATGAAGAGCCCCTTGAACATCCCTCAACACTGAGGTCTCACAGGAGACCCTGGCACAGGGAAGGTCCCTGGGAGCAGATTCCCATGGTGGTAGGAGCCAACTGCTGAGCTCCCTGGCTGGCAGCCAAGTGCTCCCAGCTCCAGCCAGGTCGGCGACGCTCCCGCAAGGCTGGGATTCAGTCCCTGGGGCTCTGCCGAGGTAATGGCGCCGCCTGGCAAACCTCAGCCCCAACCCTGGGGGGGAACTGGAGCCATCTCACCCCTAGGCTGCCCTTTCCCAAGCTCCAGGAGGAATCTTTTGTTCCAGCCCTTTCTCAGTGGCCCACCTCCCCTTCCCCTTGGATGTCATCCGAACCCGAGTTGCACAGCCAGGGGCTGGAAAAGCTGGTGTCCCACAAGAACAGCCCCGAGCATTGCGCAAGGACACTGGGCTATTTCCTTCCTTTTTTTAGTGTTTATTTTTTATGAAAGCCCAAGAACACTGCAGCCTCAGCTGAAGGCACAGGTACCTTCCCCAACTGAGAGAACACCTGCCCTCTTGTTCCTTGCAGCCAGACCAGGACTCTGCCACCACCACCATCGCTCCATGGTTGGGAAGTTGTGGCTGTGGGGAAGAGCTCTGCAGCCACCCCACCATCCCCCCCCTCAGGGCATCCAGGGCAAACCCACAGCAGAGGAGCCCATGGAGAAGCCTGATTTATTCCCCTGCCCAAGCCACCCACAAGGAGAGGGCCTGGAGAACAACAAAGCCATTTCTTAGGAATTTCAATCTAGTTGAAGGGTCTTTAAAGTTTGTTCAACAGAAACACAGACCCTTTGAACTTAAGTCTCCACAGAGGGGCCCATTAAAAACAAAAGCTTGTTCACCACAACATGGTGTCTGAGATGGAAAACGCTGCAGGAAGTTAAAAATTAAAGATTATAAAAATTCACCCAGGATGACTGAACTCTCCCCCTCCCCCCCCATTTTTGGCCCGGACCATTTGGCAGGGCTGAGCAGGGCTGGTTCCCCTCTCAGTCAGGAAGAAGGTTTCTCATGTAGAAGGAGGAAGCCAAGGGGTAAGGAAGCACCTGGCTGCCAGCTCCGGCACGTCCCTGCCCTTCCGCTCAGCCATCCCTGCGGGATGCTATTCCATGAACACCCAAACAACAACTGCCTGGGACTCTAAGTACTTAAAAACAAGCTAGGAAGAGTGATAATTGAAAGGAGGGGTTAGTGCAAGGACCAAGGGACTACTGTGGCACAGCCACCCCTTGCAGGAACACGCAGCCATGGCTCCACAGTTGGACTCAATCTTAAAGGTCTTTTCCAACCCAAATGATTGTACAACCTCACAGACCCAGCAGCTCTGGCTGTATTTCCAGAATACTGTCATATGAAATAGATTCACGAGGTACCTCGTTTCACTGTAGCTACTGTTTAGGAAAGCAAACTGATGGTTCCTGTGGTTGTGGGTGTCCTTTGTGGGAAGGGTTTATCTCGTTGGTGGGTAGTGACAGGCATGACTGATCACGGGCTCAGCGGGGCACAAGAGAAACAACAGAGAAATCCCACATCCAGTGTTGGGAACAATGAGAAATTTTCTGTGAAGTCTCTGTTGCTCCCCTTGCCCTTGGTAACATCTTGTTCCACATTCGAGGAAAACAAGCAGCCAGGAGGTCTTTCCTGGAGGTGTAGTCTCTCTTTTTCCATGCCCAAATTCAGCTGAGCACAGCAAGCCCCAAGGGCAGCAGCAGATGTTCCTGGTTGCTGATCTGAGTTACTGGACGGCAGATGCTGCCAGCAGCCCCTTCACCCACTGGAGTGAAAATTGCTTTAGTTTTCTTTAGTTTTTACCCCCTTATGATCTCCCTAAACTCCAGGAAAAAATAACTCACCCTCTGCCAGCCATGTCACCAAGCTCTGGTGGAGGGAAACTCTTGGGGTCAATAAATCAAGGATAAAAGAAATCAGGTTTCTGAATGGCAAACTTTGAGATGTGAGCTCAGACTGAGCAAATTCAACATTTTTTTGTCATTCTGTGCTGGTACCTGGTTCAGCTTCTTCCTAAACCTCTATTGCCATGGAGATGGTGGCAAGATCACCACAAAATATATGGTATCAATGCCAGAGCCAGCAGGTTAGTACAAGAGAAAAATCTTCAGCAGCAAGTGAAAAATCATAAAAATTCATAAAGAGCAAGCAAGTTAAGGATTTAATTAAGAACAGTTAATTCATAAAAAAATATTTCTCACTGTGACATCTCCTCTTTAAAACCAGTGTGAAAAGTTCACCAAGAGGCTATCATGTAGTGATGGTCTTCATCACTGATGAAAGTCAATTAAAGACTTGTCCAAACTCCATGCCTTTGGGAGACCTGGACCTATTTCTGAGCTCTCTGTGGCTTGGACTTGAGTGCTGATTTACATTGGCCTGAGGTGGCTGGGAGTTAAAATCCCTTTGCTTTGCATCACAATTAATTCTGCTGGTCTGTGTTAGCACTGAGAGTCCCTACGTTGAACCCAGGCCCTGCAGGAAACCAGCCCCAAGACCATTACAGCCACAAAACCTGCAGATCAAGTGGGAGGTGACAGACTGAGGTTCCCTCCATGAAACAGGTCCAGCATAAATCATAATTTCCCATCACTGCCCTGCGAAAACATCAGCCTTCAGCTGGAAGGATTCAAAAAATTGCCTTCAGGTTTTGTGGCTCATGACCTTGTTTCTGCAGACGCCTCCCTGCAGGCACTGAATCTGAGATGCTCCAATTCATGGCATGTAGGTCCCTGAACAGCCAGGCCCTGGCCATAACTTTGGGTTCTTCTACACTGTAGATGTACCCAGACCAGCTGCAAGTTAACTCCAGGAGAGATCAATGCTGACGTGTGAAGCTACTGAGCTGGCTTGGCTATCTCTGTGCTGCCCTGGAAGAAGCAACCTGACAGCAAAGGTTCTTCATGTGACGATTGTCTCCCTCACTCCTCCTGCCCCATCTCAAAGCAAAGACATGTGGTTGGTGAAGCAACAGCAAAGAGCTGCACAAAGACACTCGCTGCCATAACCACGGTCACTGTCACACACTTCAACAAAAGCTGCCACCTCCTATAACACGCACTCTTGGTTTTTTTACTATGCAACTTCTTAAAAGGACAAAGCATGAGCTAGTACCACTGGTGTCCTTAATGCCTCTTCATCCAAAAGAACTCTATGCTAAGAGGAGAATCCAGTAGAAAGCAATAACTCTTGGAGGATCCCAGCTTCCAAACAGCTTAGTTCACAAAAAATATTGCAGAGAAAAAGTAGTTCCACAACCCATTTGCACAAAGCACAAGCACAAAGATTTGTCACAGAGACTGAAGCAGCTCACAAGATGCTTTTGATTTCCTACTATCATCTTGAGCGTAGACACACAATGAGCAAATTGTTCAGCAGCTGCAGTTTTGCTGAAAGGGTGATGCTTTTGACCAAGTAAAGCAACATATTCTTAAGAGGACAGTTTTGACTACCCGGGAACTAGAGGAATTCTGGGTGGGCTCAGGGGATGTGACTGCACCACCCACAACAGCAGAACAAGACTTCACATGTGGATGGTGGCTTGTGCTCAAAGATCCCTCCCTGAATGGGAGGGTGTTGGTGGGGGCATCTCTCCAAGCCAAACCTGATGCTGCAGTTCTGCTCAAAGGAGGACCAGGCCCTCAGTCCCTGCTTCTTAGAGCAAACTAGACCATCTACAGCAGACTGAGATCAAAGCCAGGCTCCAGCCTTTTGGGGACATCTGCCCCCTTCTACACCACCAGACCCAGTTGGTCCCATCTCCACTGCACGTTCTAGAAGAGACACAGCACAACAAAGGACACAGTGACAGGCAGTGCCCAGGCAGAGCCCAGGGAAGAGCCAAAGGAATCCTACTCTTAATTATTCTTTGCAAATGGTTTAGGGGCAAATGAGCAGGGCCATTTGGAGAGCATGTTGCTCATCCCATGCTGAATGACGGCCTACCCACAGGAAAATGTGGGGCTAGCAAGACAAGGACTTGGCTTTCTGCTAACTGCAGTTCTCTGGGTTTATCAGGAGGAACTCCACCCTCAGGCCTGCACCTGCCCCAGTGCCAATTCCCAGGGCCATAGGATGGGTTTTCTGGTGAAGAGCATCCCAGAGGACAGGCTCAATAGCAGGGAGATTGTTTGGATCTGAGAGTTAAAAGCCAGGTAGTGGCAGGGAACCCTGACTGCTCTTGTAAGGAACGCAGTGAGTCAGACAAGGCTTCCCCAGACCATTTCTCTGACACTAATTCTGCTCTGCCTTGTCTCACCCAAATCATTGCCAGTGGACAGAGTCCAAAGCCTCCAGCAGCACATATTTTGGTATGAGTGTGTGTGTGTGTGAGCGTGGGAGCCAACATCAGCCAACCTCTGCTTCCCACCCATCCCACCTTGGTAAGGCAGGTGGGCCAGGCTCAGGACCACCCTGTGGCTTTGTGAGAGCCCCAGGCATGGCTGGCAACGCAGATTGACATTGTCTGGAGGATCCCAGACCCAAACCAAAAAAAGCCTACAGAGACCTGAAGTGCAGCCCTCAGTGTCACACACACACAGATGCTGGTCAGACTTGCTGCTGCCGGACAGGCTGGACCCCTTTAAAGCTGCTGGCAGGAATTCCTCCTCCTGGCCCATGGTCGTACCAAGAACTTCTCACTGCAGAGCTGCTTGTCTGCCAGGCTCAGGGGTGGTGATGGGGGGACTGGAGGAGACAAGGCAGAGCCAAGGACATGGTGTCAGACAGGCAGCAGCTCCCACGGGGTGCTCCAGGTTTTATTTACGAGGGATCAGAAGCATTTTCTCCTTGTGTCGTCTTAAAATATTGTGCGTTTCCTCGAGATCAGTGTCTCTGCTCTTCCTGCTTATGATTCTTGTGGAACCACTTCCATCAGCTTCTGGCACAGGACTGTGGCAGAGACTGTGGGGGAAGAAAGCAAAGTACAGGTCAGATATCACATGCAGGGGCCCCAAACAGATCCTGGTCTTGGTTCATGATCCTCTCTGCTGCACAAGGGCTGACCCATGTGCCTCCCCACCGTGATTCTGAGCAGGATTAGTCCCAAATGCAATTTAAGACTTGAAAGCAAATGTGCCACTGGCTGCTCATTGCTCATCTCTAGAACTTTAACATGTAACACTGGGAGCTCTGCTCCTGCAAGGATGCTGTCCTGCCCCAGGGTGGCTCCATGGCCTCTCGACACCACTTTCTAATGTAATGGGGATACAGGAACTAAGTTTGGATGCCAGAACTACCAGCAACCAAAACTGAGTCAGGCACAACAGCAGAACTGGGCACAGAAAATACAAGCTGATGCTTTTACTTCCCATTTTGAAAACATTACCTGTATGAGCGTCTTTAAAGGCTTGAGTACCCCAGACAAAACCAACTCAGGATGCTGAGCACAAGGCAGACTTTATTGAGCAGGTCAGGAGCAAAGGAAGCACTTCAGATAAAAGTCTGCACAGGAAAGGTGCTAACCTGAAGTAACTTTATTTTTCCACCCATTAGTTCTGGTGGCTGACAGCCAAACACACCTGTGCTTTCCCCTGCTTCCGTCTGCCTTCAGACATCACAAGATAATCTTGCCTGGTAAAGCTAAAACTAATTCTAAATACATGTAAGGTCAAACTCAGATCAGTTGGAGGTGATCAAATTATCTGCAATATATGAATATACACATTTAAAGTTCATATGTTTCTAACTGGACATTTGAAGGATTATCATTCTGTGTTCCCAGAATATTTTCAATATTCTCCTTGCAAGCTTCTGGGGGAGGAAAACAATTAATATGATAATTTGCCACCAAGGCATTCAAAAAATGGCTTTTCCAGGAACTGAGCCTAACACTCAGAATAAAAAAGTGTTTGAGAGAAACTGAGAGAGAGAGACAGGGAAAAAAAAAGAATAGCAAGTGCTGAGCACTGTTGAAAGCCTTTTTCTTCTTCATAAAAAGCATCCAGCTAAGGCTGGGCATTTCTGCTTGTCTCCTTTTCTAGGTCAGCCTGTTGCAGGAGAGCTGGGAAGCAGATGGTGGAGTTACTTGGACAACATGGATTGACTTTCTTGATTCAGTTGTTCAGCCAGAGGTTACATGTGCCAAGCACAGCCTCTCCATTCCTTCAAAACACACCATGTGCAGGCCCAGTGCTGGGAAACCTGACACGAAGATACCTTAAAAATAAACCTTGTAAGAGAAAATATCAAGGGGGATTTTCTCCTCCCTTTGCAATTCTCCTCTGCCACATTCAGATGCCAAGGAGAGCTTTGACTGGATCAGGGATGTTAGAACTGGCTAAGAGAAGGACTGGGACTAATTCTGAGTTTTCAGCAGTCAAATTGAGGCCAGCTGTACTAAGACTGTTACTGCTTTTCCCTTCCTACTCCACTAGAAAGGGATTCTCTGCTGACAGAAGCCTTGACCCTGTGTTTTTACAGGAAGCAGAAGAACGGCAGCAACGTGCTCAAGGAATTACACACCCCTGCGTGACAACAACCTGTTTGCCAAGATAAAAAAGCCATGGTACTTGGCCCAAACTCTGCAATTATTGCAAGTCAGTGTTGCAAGGAGCGTTTTGGGTGCCTGGTAGATAAAGTAATCATCAGGTTAAAACTTGTTGCCGTTACAGAACAATTGAGGAGAAACCTCCACTACATGAAGGAGAGCTGGTACTACCAGCTGCAGCGTGCTGACTAGGAAACTGCTGGCTTTGGAGCAGAAGCCAAGTCTGCACCCTTGCCCTTCCCTAGTGGTACTTACAGATGCCTTGGAGAACCCACTTGGGCTTGTTTTGCCACCAGACTCCAAAGAGGTAAACAGGGATCCCGCTGAAGATGATTACAAAGCCAATTGCACATTCTTTTGGTGTCATCCAGAAGGAAACAACAATGAGGAACAAGCAGGCCAGGATGAAGAAAACGGGCAGGCAGATGTTCACCTAAACGAGGAGCCAAAGAACAGATTAGAAGTTGTATCAGGGGAGCAGGGGACACTTTCTAGTGAAGTGTATCTAGCTGTAGAGCCTGGGGCGAGAAGGAACTCATGCTCCACCACGGGACCCTGTGTGGACAGTGCTCCTGTCTGCCCTAGTGCTCTGAACAAGGGGACCGTGACCTTGAACTGCCATGGGGAAGGTATGGATACTCTTCCTCAGTCCTGGAGAAAACAGATGTAGGCTGACATGCACATTGAAAACCAGCAAAACAAATCATAGAGTCGTGGCTTGCCAAGAGTCACAAGCCTTTCTCAGCACCCTTTTTTTGACCCCAATTCCATACTTGAATGATTCCTTATAAAAAGCATCTGTACCAACAGCATCAAATTCAGCAGCAACCACAGCACAAGCCATGGCACCTTCATGGGTGATTGTCAGGGGACTCAGCTACACTGCTGTGAGCAGGGAACCCACTGAGAGCAGCCCACCTCTTAGAAGAAAATCCAAAACCCAAAGGAAAACACCCTGCAAGGAGTTACTTTGGGACAGCACCAGTACAGGTCTGAGAGCTTGTTTGTCTCTGGCTGCCTGTTGCTGGGCAGAGACCTGAGTGTGCTGGAGGATGAGTGAGAAACATGCCTTTCAGAAGGGCAGACATGCTTGTGGCTGACATGATCTTGGCCTCCTCCCAGATGGGACAGGCACTGCCAAGCTGGCCAAGGACAAAGAGAACACAGTTCTCATCTGTGCAGGCGTGGGCTTGGCTGCTTTGTTAAAAAACTATTTGAAGTGGATTCCATGATGGTACAGAGTGTTTCACTGAGAACCACAGCCTGTGATTTGTCCTGGGGAGTATGTTAGTCACTGAGAGCTTCCCACTGGGCTACCCCACCAGAATAGCCCACATCTCTGACACCCAGAGCCTCCCTCATTCTGATGTCCCTATGGCCACGGCAACTTTGCCCTCTTGCACCAACTGGCATTTGGCAGATTTTCATGGGACACCTGCATGAGCTGCACCCCAACTTTTCCCCTGCACATGTGCAATGCTAGACACAATTCCATCCAGGACAGGCAGCCATACTTGCTGAACCTTCTCTGGTGCTGAAAAGGGACTCAGTGAGGACCCATCAGGCAATTACCCCACTGTTCTCACCTTGATGGGCCTTTCCAGCTCTGGCTTCTTGTAACGCAGCCACATCATGCCGATGATGGCCAGAGCCACACACAGCCAGTTGAAGAAGCTGAAGAAGTTGATGACTGAGAAAATGTCGTTGGAGAAGGCATAGAGAAGGGTCATGACACACTGCATCCAGGAAAAAAAAAAGCCATTAGCAAAGGCAGGAGGCAAACCCACATATGTTACAACACTAAACACAGGTATTTTAGGATTTTTTTTTGCCAGGGAAAGAATTGGGTTGATTATTTTTCACTTATTTGAGCTATTTTCTGTTGGTGCCTGGAGTAACTTAGAAGTGGAATATAAGGATATGAGGAGAAGTAGGAGGGTCTGTCCTCTCCTGTAGGTGTAGGAATGGTTGTGTCTGGAGGTGGTGCCCAAGTAGCCCCACTCCAACAGGATCATACCTCTTAATCCCAAGTTGATGCCCATCCCCACAGCCCACGTACTTACTGTGAAGACAAGGGAGGGCATAGGAGTGAGAAGCCTAGGGTGAATCATCGACAGGATTGAAGGCAAGTGTCCTTCTCGGGATCCCACAAAGAACAGCCTGAGGTGGGGGAGACAGAGCAGTTACCACCTCTGCAACCTTCAGCCCTAGGCTGGGGTTTGGAGCCTGCCAGGCTAGAACGCCCAGGCTCCACACGCAGGTTTTCCACCTGAGTGGTGCCTTGTACAATGCCAGCTCTGCACTTTACCACGGAAGGCTGGAGACAAGCAAAGAAGGCATGAAGCAATGTATTTATGGTCCTCCTTTCCAGAGAGGACAGTAAGGGACTTTTCCAAGACAAGACGGAAGATGCGTCAGAGTTGGAACCATCTCAGTCCCCATCCTGCCCTGTCCTTTCTCCTCTTTCTGGAAGGATTCTCAGCTCTAAAGTTTTGTAAGTTTCTGCTTTTCATTAAAGCCACTTTCTCAGGCAACATCACTGAGCCCCAAGCCTGTGTTTATGAATCAGCAGGACTTTGCCTGAGGAACAGAAGATCAAGACCACTGAAACAGTTTCCTTTAAACTGGATACAGTTTTGAAGTCTTTTCATTTTTTCCCCTGCATTCCTCACATGGTCTCCAGACCCTTCACACTTTGTGTCTCCCCGCAGCCATTCTTTGGAGGACAACTCCACGCGAAGAGGCATGAAACATGACTTGTAAACAAAAACCACAAAATTGAGCAAGAAACCTACCGGGAAGAAGTGAAGAGAGACCCATTGACAGATCCAAAGCATGACAAGCCAACAAAGACAGGAATTATCCAGGACATGACACCAAGGTGGTAGTTCCCAAAATCCTAAGTAAGGGGCAACAAGAGAGACATTTCACACCCAGAAGATCCAAAAGAACTCCCAGCTGCCTACAACTCAGTATCTGAAGGGGCCTACAGAAGAGCTGGGGAGGGGCTTTTTATGAGGGCCTGTAGTGAAAGGACAAGGGGTAATGGATTAAAACTGGAGGGGAGATTTAGGTTAGACATTAGGAAGAAATTCTTTAGCATGAGGGTAGTGAGACCCTGGCCCAGGTTGCCCAGAGCAGCTGTAGCTGCCTCATCCCTGGCAGTGTTGAAGAGCAGGTTGGATGGGGCTTGGAGCAACCTGGGCTGGTGGGAGGTGTCCCTGGCCATGCAGGGAGGTGGAACTGGAGGATCTTTAAGGTCCCTTCCAGCCCAAACCAGCCTATGATTCTGTGAAATTTGGACAAATGACATAGTGCTGAAGCTGTTATGGAGTTTTCCATATTGCCATGTGCTGTTCCTCCTTCCTGAAAAACCTTTTTGTGGAACTGCAAAAAAACAAGCCGAAAGCCCTTCCCTCAGAGTGAGGACACAACTTTTATCAGAATAGCTATCCAGAAGTTCAAGACAAAAAGGAAACTGTGAGGAGATGCAGACAGGCAGTGCCTGCCAACTGCTGAGTAAGGAACCCTGGGACACAGCCCCTTAGAAACACGGTTGGGGTTTTGTATCATCAACTGTCCCTGCACTGCTTCCCTGCAGCTTTATGCCAACATTGTTTTATTGATTTCAAGACCTGCAAGGGCACAGAACTGGAGCAAGGCAACATGGACTGGTTTCTCCAGTAACTCAGCACTGACAGCATGCAGGCTGGAGCAGGGCTGGGTACCACCCCAAGGATGGAACGATACCACCTGAATGGTCCAGACCAGCTCATCCTAGACTGTAAGATAGCCAGTGGAGAACTGAATATTCCTGGCCACACTATTTGCAAGGTCACACCAATCTTCTCCCTTCTGAAGCAACCAGGATTTCTGACACAACTAGGATTTCTGACACAATGGCATTTTAATTGACAGAAGGATTCTTTTTCTCTCTTCACTAAAACAAGGAAGGCACAGAGAGAGAACAATCTAGTTCAGTATTAAGTGAATGACCTTTTCTCATAAATATCATGCTCTGGTAACTGATGATAAGTCATGAGGCCAGCAGCAACCTTGCATATTTACAAATGAGGAGCAGCATTAACTGTCTGCCCACCCTTACTATTGTCTGTGATTAATCCCACTTGGTATCACACTGTTCGTCCCTGCTCCCGTCACAGTTCCTCTTTATCTTCTGTCAACCATCAGGGTTTTTTGTAAACAGCCATGGCCAGTCTGGAACAAACTCAGAGATGTATGCAGAGATTGTACATCTGATTTAACCAGCCCTGCGAGTCACAGCAGAAATGCACCCATCTTACCACAGCCACGGCTTCAGACAGCAGCATCTGCTCCTTCGTCAGGGTTGTGAAGTAAGCCAAGTTTGTCAGCACATAAACCAGAGTGACTACAGGCAGTGAGATGATGATGGCCAGAGGCAGGTTTCTAGGAAGAAAATACAAATTCATACAATTGTAGAATGCCTTGGGTTGGAAGGGACCTCTAAAAGTCATCTAGTCCAACTCCCCTACAATCAGCAGGGACATCTCCAACTAGACCAGATTGCTCAGTGCCCCATCAAGCCTGACCCTGAATGTCTCCAGGAATGGGGCCTCTATCACCTCTCTAGGCAATCTCATATTGGAGAACTTTCTCCTAATATCCAACCTAAATCTACCCTTTTCTAGCTTGAAACCATGACCCCTTGTCCTATTGTTACATGCCCAGAGAACAGCTCTTCCCCAGCTTTCTTATAGGCCCCTTTCAGGTACTGGAAGGTTGCTACAAGGTCCCCCTGGAGTCTTTGCTTCTTCAGGCTGAGCAACCTCAACTCCCTCAGCCTGTCTTCATAAGAGAGGTGCTCCAGCCCTCAGGTCATTTTCATTGCCCTCCTCTGGACACACTGTGTTGGAGCACTGCAGCTCAGAGAGTTGTTAATGCAGGGATGGGTGGCTCTCACTTTGAGTTGCCTTGAGCCATTCTGCTCTTCTCTGTCTCCTCAGCATGTCCTATTTCCCAGGCACATACTGCTCCCCTGGGAGAGGAGAAGATGCCCACATAGGGACAAGCCTGGAGGCTGCAGATGTAGAGTGAAGGATTATGGCAGAAGGGACTTTTTGCACAGAGAAGCACTGGCTGTACTTCCAGGCAAGTCATTAAAACCAACCCTTGCCAGCCAATGGCAGGCGGCCACACACTCACGTTGGAAGGGACCTCTAAAAGTCATCTAGTCCAACTCCCCTACAATCAGCAGGGACATCTCCAACTAGACCAGATTGCTCAGTGCCCCATCAAGCCTGACCCTGAATGTCTCCAGGAATGGGGCCTCTATCACCTCTCTAGGCAATCTCATATTGGAGAACTTTCTCCTAATATCCAACCTAAATCTACCCTTTTCTAGCTTGAAACCATGACCCCTTGTCCTATTGTTACATGCCCAGAGAACAGCTCTTCCCCAGCTTTCTTATAGGCCCCTTTCAGGTACTGGAAGGTTGCTACAAGGTCCCCCTGGAGTCTTTGCTTCTTCAGGCTGAGCAACCTCAACTCCCTCAGCCTGTCTTCATAAGAGAGGTGCTCCAGCCCTCAGGTCATTTTCATTGCCCTCCTCTGGACACACTGTGTTGGAGCACTGCAGCTCAGAGAGTTGTTAATGCAGGGATGGGTGGCTCTCACTTTGAGTTGCCTTGAGCCATTCTGCTCTTCTCTGTCTCCTCAGCATGTCCTATTTCCCAGGCACATACTGCTCCCCTGGGAGAGGAGAAGATGCCCACATAGGGACAAGCCTGGAGGCTGCAGATGTAGAGTGAAGGATTATGGCAGAAGGGACTTTTTGCACAGAGAAGCACTGGCTGTACTTCCAGGCAAGTCATTAAAACCAACCCTTGCCAGCCAATGGCAGCAGCACATGCATTCCCTCCTGGGCAAAGGAGAAGCATTTGTGCTGGTGGGTTCCCTGTGGGAGCTAGAAAGATCAGGGATTCAGCAGGTGTTTTTAGGCTCTAACTCTGTGCAGCTGGGCTGGACTGATGAAACTGAAAGAAAATTATTTCAGACACAGCCTGAGTGGGTCTGTAAAGACAAGGTTGTGTTGGTACCTTGGTACCAATTTGCCTTTGCAAAGAGTCTAACTTCATTTACGAATGGAAATTGAAAAAGGAAACCCTGCTTGATGCCACGTAGAATTGGTCTAGTGGTGCTCAAAGCCACAGGAGGAGCCAGTCAAATATCATGCCTGCAAAAAACTTTTTTGTAACTGTGTTTGTGAAGGAAAGGGCATATCAAGCCTAATGCTTCCCAGCAGGCACTAACCACTGCCAGGGTCAGCCAGTAATGGGTTCCTGCCCAAGCAACCCTGAAGCTTCAACAGTGCCTCTCAGGCACCTTCCCTATGAGAAAAATGATTTATCAGCCATGTCCTGCTTTGGGGTGGCCCATCCCCATCCCACCAGGTCCTCTGCATAACCCTGGAAGGCAGGAGCAGCACAGGAAGCAGCTCTTGCTCAAGAGAACAGGAAAAGCACGTGACAAACATCTGTTTACACAAATACTCTTGTGGGAGTTTATACAATACAGCAATAAAGCCAGAAGTGCTTCTTCCTCGTCTATAATTCAGAGATGTGCCATGCCAAGGAAGCAGGACCTTCCAACAACATTGATAATATTAGCAGTACAGGAAAGCTGAGTGAGCAACTGCCCTTCTCATACAGAGATTATTATTTGCTTTCCCCTGCCCCAGGGAAGAACAATGTCATTAATTTCCCTCATTTTCTATTTCCCTAGAAAAAGACCTTGGCTTCTTGGATGACTAGCAACCCCTGTTACACTCATGAGGAAAGGGCTCCTCAAGAACTGATTTTCTTCACAGGGAAGTCATCACAGGACACACACCTACCTGTAGGGATTTATCATCTCTTCTGTAACAAAATTCAAGTAATTCCTGTAATTTAAAAAAGAACAGTGGTTAATTCTGGTTAGTTCATGGAATAAATTAAGCCCTTCATCTAACTCACCTGCACAGGAATTTCAGGAGGAGTAAAGAGACTGAAACCTGCAGTAAAACTTGTGATGGCTGATGCCTAGTCCAAGACATGGCACAAGCCCTGGATAGTGCTGGTGGCCCAAGCTCACCATTCTGCCAGCTTCCTTGCAACAGAAAAGCTCTCCAGGAGCTTCAGTTTGGTACTCTAAATAATCTCTTGGCATGTACCACATCTCCCCCTGCTAGCTAAACCCACCCTGCTGCTTTTTCTTAAAACCATGTACAAGCTGCACCAAGCAACCATCATCTGCTGCCTCTTCTAAATCCCATGATCACCACTGCTTCTTTTTGTTACTGTGTCCTGGCTGGCAATGGGGCATGAAATATGTCTATTAACACAACCAGACAAACCCAAAACATCTGCCTTATTGCTCTGCTTACTAGAAAGTCGACCACACTCTTCCTACAAACACAATGTGGAGACAAAGGAGTGAACTAAGATGGTCCCACTTTCATTAATGTTATATTCTACAAGACTTGAAGATAGAAATGTGGTCACCAAAGAAGTCAATTATCTCTAACCTTAAATTTCCACTTTAGTTCAGAGAAAAGAAGGCTAAGGGGAGACCTTCCTGCTCTCTACGACTGCCTGAAAGGAGGCTGGAGTGAGGGGGTATTTTTGTTTCTTCTCCCAAGTAACAAGCGATAGTATAAGAGGAAATGGCCTCCAGTTGTGCCAGAGGTTTAGATTGGACATTGGAAAAAATTTCTTCCCTCAGAAGAGTTGTGAGACCCTGGCCCAGGTGACCCAGGGCACTGGTGGAGTCCTCATCCCTGTAGGGATTTCAAAGCCATGCAGATGTGGTGCTGAGGGACATGGTTTAGGGGTGGCCTTGGCAAGGCTGGGCTAACAGTTGGACTGGATGATTTTAAGGGTCTTTTCCAACCAGAACAATCCTATGATTCTATGATTCCACAATATATAGCACTGAAGAGAGACAGAGGGCTGCAGCTTACCATCCTCCATAGGCAAAGAGACCGCTGTACAAAGCCAACACAATCTTCCCCACGCCCGTTTTTGTGCCCTCGAAGGAGTGCTCAGGAGCCAGGTTTGACACATCACCTGCAGAAAACAAAACCAAGAAAGGATGGATGCAGACAGCTTGTCAACCCCAGGGGCCTCCGTGGGTGATGAAGCATAGAAACCTGGAAGTTTAATCCTAAAGCTGCTCTTAGGATACTTAATTATCACATTGATACCTTTCAGTTTATGCTGAAGAGCACGTGCACTTATTTCTTAAGCCCCAAATATACTTGTCTCAAGCAACTGAGTCCTCAAAACTTTCTCACACTGCAACGTGCTGTCACCGAGGTAATCTCCCAGATATCTTCTCCCTGAGAAGAAAACATTCTGGGGACCTTCCTGCTGCAAGATGCTTTGCAAACAGATATTGTCACATCGGCCTCTCAACTGAAAGCTGCTTTCGTTCGATAAAACCCCAGGATTTCCTTCACTTCCACCAGTCACCCAATAAAGCAGAAACCCAGGATTTCCTCTGGTCCCACCAGCCACCTGATAAAGCAGAGGGTTCTGGCAATCCCTTTGATTGTGGGAAGTCAGGTTCTTTGGGGCTTGAATATCAAGTCCCAAAGAAGCCAGCTTCTAAATATCAAAAGTTCCTGTTATGTATCTGCTTTAGAAATGAAAAGCCATAAATAGACAGACTCGATTGTACCTCTGGTCAAAACTCTCCCAGAGCAGCCAAGGGTTTATTTATTTTGCTTTAAAATGCTCTGCAGTTGTTTTGTACCCTGCCTTTTGATGTGGAGCCTGGGTGTAGGCCTGGGATGGAGAGGCCACGCTCCTCTCGAGGACCCCGCGCTCCCCTCGGCGCACCCGGAAGCGCAGCAGGACTCACAGGGCACCGTCTGCACCCAGGGAGCCCTGTGGAAGCCCATGTGATTCCTCTTAGGGCACAGATCTTTACTAATCACCCGGCAACTGCATCACATGGCAGTCAGCAGGGCCTGCAGCTTAACCCTTCATCTCTTAGCACAAGGTACCTGGGACGTGCCTCTGGGGAAAGGAGAGGGGTATCAGCACACCCAGGCATTTTGCCTCTGGGTGGCCTCTCTTCCCATCTCATGCTGGAAACTGTCATTCCCCTATGGATGCACAGACCTTTTGATGCCTGGCACTCACCTTCCCAGTGGTGGGAAAAGGTGACTTTTCCCTATGGGACCATCTGCTGGTGCATCTTCCATTCATGGGGCTTCCCAAGGGACAAATCTGTGCCAGTCACACAGAGCTGCCCAGTGCACGTGTGAAAGCTACATCGTCTTTCACCCTCTCTACCTGACCCTTCAGCTCTATCTCTATCCTTTCCATCCTGGGCATTGTTTCCTGCACTTCCTTCTCTTGATCCTGCTGAGTCCCAACCAGGGCAAAAAGATATTCCCTAACACAGTGTTCAAAACACTCCCTGCTCACAAAGCTGCTCAGAAAACCAGCTCCCCTCTGCCTTCTTCACAGCAACAGCTCATGCACAGGGCAATCAGGTCTGGGCAACACCAGACTGAGTTGAACATAAGATGGGTGTGCACAGTATCACATTCTGCTCCATCCCTCAGGCTCAGCTTTCCTGAGTTTATTTTCTGCTGCCCCTGAATAATTACCAGTCTAGCTCCTTCCAGGTCTTTTGCTAAGGGAATAAGATACTCTTTTTGTTAACAGTGACAGTAATTAGCTACTGGAACAGCACAGGGATGGACCAGGAGAGCAGGAGAGCTCTCCAGGCATTTCAGACACCCCTGGGGATGTCTCTTCTCAAAGATCTGCTCATGCTCTGCCAGTCACCCAGCTCCCACCCAGCGTGAGGGATCACCATCTCAGGAGGATGCCCTGATCTGGGAGCAGCCAGGGCACAAGCAGCATCCTGCCATGGGCTGACACTTCCATTTCTTGTCCACAGCTGGACATCAGGTTCCACTGAAAACCTCTGTTTGTCACAGGCAAAAAGCTCTCAGGCTAAATGTTCCCTCTTTCTGAGGCATCTGCAGATTTCACTCCATGCCTTCCCAAACCTCACAAGGAAACCATGTGCTGGTGCCATCAAGGAAGGGCCGAGCTGCTGCCCTTGCCCAGCTGGCTAGGAGGGGAGAAGAGCATTGGTGGTCCCCAGCCCAAAACCCCATGCCTGCATTCAGGATGAGCCACCACCAGCATCTTCAGCCTTTGGGCAAGGAAGGTCCCAAGCCCAGTTTGGTGACCCGCTGGGCTGTAGAGACACTTTGGCTGTGTGTCAGGAGGCCTGCCTGCCCTCAGGGACATGGGAGCAAAGAGGAGGCCAAGGCAGCAGGATGGCTATGGAGCAGCACTAAGCAAAGGGATGGGAACAAAACCTGGCATGTTATTACACCGTGGGTGGGCGGGGCTGACAGGATGGGTGGGACATCACTAATTGCTCCCACACTTCTTCCTTGTACCCACCGTGGCTTTGAAGCACCAAAATGCAGCTACTGGCAGAGGAGCAGCCAGCAGGGAGAGGAGACTTGGTGGGAAGTGAAGGGGCTTTTTGTTCCTCCTCCAATGCTTGAGGAGCTGACACCTCGATGTCCACTCCCTGCCTCACCCAGCAAGAGTTGTAGCTTTCCAGAAACTTGCAGCGAGTTGCTAAACATCACATCTCTTAATGCTGCCAGGGTCACATGGACTTAGGAACATGGCAGCACATGGTTAAATAACCAGAGGAGCTGAGATCTACCTCTTCCCACTCCAAAAGGATGAGCTCATACTCCCAGGTGTCCACATGCTGCCCCTTTCCCACAATGTTTGCTTCCTTCATGTTTTATTACTTCTTGTTTGCATGAGAGCAGCCTGGCTCCTTACAAACACACCCCACAGATCACAACCCAGCAGAGCAGTTGTCCTCTCCCACCATCACCACCACAAAGCTCTATCCCACCCTGCCAGCCAGCAGATCACCAGGAAGATGATCTGTGCCCACCAGCAATGCCTTTACAGACATAACTGGCAGCACGTTATACATCTTGGGGCAAAAAAGCCAAGTTTCAGAGGCAATGCTTCTGGGAAAATATCCTGGATGTCTTCCCACATGGGGCAAGTTGTAAAATACAGTGGGTGAGCTCTGACTGTACCCCCAAACCCTTGGAAGAGAAATCCATCACACAAAGATACATCCTGTGGCACAGAGGTCCCAGACACACACCAGAGGCTGAGAAATTGGCCTGGAAGCACCATGTACCCCCTTGTTCTTACATTGTTCCACTGATGCCTGGAGACTGGGGACACTGGGTAGGTGCTCCAGCATGGTCATTCCCACCTCCATCCCCTAATACAGTCCTCACTAGGACTTGCTGTTCAAGATGGAGGAATGAACCTCAGTCTCCTCTCCATCTTTCAAGCCTGAATTTGACTTTGGGTCACATCAAGGGTTACAAACCTGCAAGTGAGGCTGCCAAGTGTGGCTTTGACTGCTCCCATGGAGCAAGAGGTGTGTAAGCAAAAGCCTTCCAGGCAGAGGGGTGCTCTCCCCACCCTGCTGGCTGCCTGCCACCCCCAGCCCATGCAGCCACAGCTGCTCTCTAGGCAATGCCCTGCCCGTGCCCGGCACCCCAGGGATCTGAAACCTGGTTTGAACTGCCTGTTCCACTGCACTCTGCTCTACAATTAACCAAATTAAGGTAACAAGCTCTGACATAAACCCCGTTTGCTGATCTTGCCAGCTGCCAAGACTCTAGTAATTGCACCAGCAAGTGATGGGTCACCTGGGGCCTTTCTGCAGGAGGAACCTATTTCAGGTCCATGCGCTGCATGTTCAGACCCTTGATTTGAAAACGTTCATTTGCTCCCCAGTCGTGTCCATCCTGGTTTTAACAGCACAGCAATCTTCTCTTGTAGAAAGCATTTAGTGATAATTAAATATTTTTAACTTGCCTAAACAGCAAGGAGGGGGAGCACAGTCACCTAGAGAGCTCAGCAAGAGAAGGGGGGGCCCTCAGGAAGCCTTGCCCATGGAAACCCAGCCAGGAAGGAACATGTTGTATATATGAAAACCTCTGAGAAAAGCAGCAAGAGTTCAATTGACTGGGTCACAAAAACTAGACAGCAAGAGGCACACAGGGGCCAGTGTTAGGAGAGCACCTCTTGGGCAGCTCATGGAAACTTAAGCTCAGGAGCCACAGAAGCTGTTTGCTGCTCTCCAGTTGCTGCCACTCTGCATCAAGCAGTTTTGAACAGTAGCTCTTAGATCTGGGTCCTGTAGCAGATGAGCATATGGGTCCAAAAGACATCACCAGAAACCTTAGACCAGCAGGACACTACTTCAGCCAGTGAGTGTTCTGGTACCATTCCTCTCTCCTGTCCTGCTGGTACCACCAAAAAACCTTTTACCCTCCTCCTCCTAAGCAAACACCTCCCAATTTTCACACCTTTTGTGTCTGCCAGCATAACGTTTGCTGATGAGGAACAAAGAATCAGACCCGGAAGCAGTGGTGTGATGCACAGCACCTAAAATACCCTGTCTTCTCCAGGAGCCAGAAAGGCAGAGGCAGTGCAGAGACCCTGGATGAACAGGGTGCCCTTGATCCTTAGCACAGCATGGAAAGGTGTCCCCCAGATGCCCCCATCTGTCCCTATCAGGGAGATTAACTGCAAAGTGTAGACCCTAAACAAACCCCTCAATGGGTTTCCAGCCACATCTATAAGCTTGTTCATTCTGCACGAGAGGTTCACCCCACATCCACAGAAATCTGAGACTGAGAATGACAAACTGGAATGAGCCACCTGCACAGGCTCTGGAGGGGCTACCAGAGCCAACCAGCTTGACATGCAGGAGAGCTGAGAATACCTGGGAAGGGCAGATCCTCCCTCCACCTGCAGCACCACAACCACAGCCATTCATTTCAGCCCAGCAGCTGAAAGCTGTGGGAAAGGATTGATATCAAACACCAGCAAAAGCCCATGTGTACACACACAGGGCTGCTGACTGCATGGAGACACCTGAGACATCAACCCCTGCTTCTGTGGCAAACACAGACCTTAGAGAGGCAGAGAGAGGAGATCCAGACAGAGACCCAAAGAAGCAAATGCTGAAGTATTAGCTGCTCTCTAATTAAATATGCCTGCATTGCTGGGATAGCTATGCTGGGAAAAATGAGAAGCCAGCAGAGCCTCTGGTGTCAGCTGCCTTAAAACCCGCCCAGCCCACAGCCATGGTGAGCAGGGTCCCCTGGGGCTTGCATGCAGGACACAGACCTTGATCTGTACAACCACTGAATTGCTTTGGTTGTGAAAGACCTTCAAGATCGTCCAGTCCAACCATCAACCCAGCACTGCCCAGGCCACCAGTATCCCATGTCCCTCAGCACCACATCTACGTGGCTTTGAAATCCCTCCAGGAATGGGGACTCCACCACTGCCCTGGGCAGCCTTTCCCAGGGCCTGACAGCTCTTTCTGGGAAGAAATATTTCCTAATATCCAATCAAAATTCCCCTGGCACAACTTGAGGCCATTTCCTCTTGTTCTATCGCTTGGGAGAAGAGACCAACCCACCCTGGCTCCAACTTCCTTTCAGGGAGCTGTAAAGCATGAGAAGGTCTCCCCTCAGCCTCCTTTTCTCCACACTTAGCAGATGACAGTTCATTCAGGACCAACAACGAGCAATGTGCTACAAGCCACAACTCTTTGGGTAGAGCAGCTTTTCAGATGTCAAGAAATATTTCCACCCTGCAGAGTTAATGCAGCTGTGAACTTCCACACAAGGGAGCTGCTAAACAACCAGCAGTTCACACCAGCATTAAAGGCCAAGCTTCCAGCAGGTGCATACAGAGCCCCTCAGACTCCCAGGTATCAGAGCAAGCAGCACAGGTCACTGACTGCCTGCTTCTATATTTTGGTGGGATTTTTAAAAATTATTATTTTTAAGTTGTTATTAAATGCATTTTATTTCTTTTGGGACAGGCAACTTTGCACTTGTAAAACAGCAAAAGCTGCAGCAGGCTGAACTCTACCCTTCAATCTACCATTGCCAAACAATCTCTGGGCAGAGTGGGCAAGAAAAAAATTGTCTGAGCAAAAATGATCTGCTCCTCTCCCAGCAAACCAGAGCAGACAAGCTGCGTGGCACGCTAACCTGCCATGCCCACCTGGCCTCTGCATTTCCATCCACCTTTGGCTGGAGAAGAAACCAAAGATTAGAGAGTGAGAACCTCATAAAACATAATTGCATTGGATCAACCCTCCAGCATTTAGATGCCTGATTTATCTCCAACATGTGGTTGATGTGATTTAGAGGTGCAGGATGGTGGCAGCTTTCCCAGCTTCCTTGTTCAGGCTCTCCTTGGGTACAGTCTTCCACTGTCCGTGTGCTCTGTGAGCCAGAGGGTGAGGGGAAGCACCAAAGCTTTCCTTCAAAGCTCACTGCTGGAAAACCACATTATTGTGGCACTTCTGAATACCAGTGGAACAAGCAGCAGCACGGGCAGCTGCAGGACATGCTTTTCTGCAATCTTTGTGCACAAACCTCAGCCCCAACTTGCAGGGACACAGGGAAAAGCTTGAAGGAACACTAATTATCCATAAGCTTTGTCTCCTGCCTGCCAAAGAGGATCTACAGAAAGAGTTAGTCATGGGCTGGCTGGGTGAACACCCATCTGGTTTGGCTTTGGGCTCCAAACTCATCTCAGACACCTACAGCTCCACTGTCAGTAGGTCCTTGTGTCCCAGATCATGTCCTAGCAGTTGAAAAGCTAAGTAGGAAACCAACTTCTACCCTCCACTTGAAGCTGCATGAAAGAAGTGATGTAAAACAGCTGTCCCCAGAAAGATCACAAGGAAACACTATTTTCTGTGTGGTAATATTGCCACATATTTCTTTGTCTGGAGATGTTTCTGCTTTTCTGAAAATAATGAAAATTTCCAGTGAAAGGATAAAAAGAAAAAAGCCAAAAGCTGAAGGCGGGAGGTCAACACAGAGGAGGATCTACTGTGAACTCTCAGGAGTTTCCACATTTGAGCAAGAAACTGTGGTCTTGCTTCTTTTCTCTGTTTATGGATACTGTAAACATAAACCAGCAGTGGGACAGGGACCATGAAAGCAAGTTAATCAGCTCTGCCCAAGCACTGCCCTGAGTGTCCTGGGAACACACAAACTTCACCGCTGAAACTGCAGCCTCAGACAACTCAACTTGGCTGGTGTTTCACACCAATAACAGCTGCTGGCTTGGGAATGAATTCACTTGAGCTGCTAGTGGCAAGAGTCCTCTTTGTCCAAAGAGCATTGGGACTGGTATGAAAGAAACAAGGGCACACAGAGGAGCAGCAAAGGCCTGGCACTGTGGGTGTGGATGGGACACGGGATCACCCACTGACTTACAGTGGTCAAACAGCCTTTTAGAAAAAGGTTACCCAGTTAAAAGCTTTCAAAGGCTACAGTATTTCCCCTGGAGAAGATCTAGCAGCTCTGTACTGTACTAATGCACAGACAGCACAGCTTCTGGATGGCTTCCAGGAGCACCAGGTTTGTCCCTCTGCTCCAAGGCAGGTTTGAGGCACTTAAACCATACCCCACAGCCATTGATTACCATGCTCTCGTAACTCTCCACGAGACAGCCTCCCTGGACAATCTACTTGAGCTTTGCATTACAGCTGGAAGTGTTGTTCTGATGGCATATTTAAACTTCCCTTGCCTCACAGCTGGCACCCCTCCTTTCTTGTTCCAATGAAGGTGGAGAAGAGAGCAGCACTTTCCCATTTTCAGTAGGGTTTAAGAAATGCTAATATGCTTTCCTTGAAGAATAAAGAAGAAGAAAAAAAAGAGTTTCTTGAGATATCCTTGCTACATAGAAGCATCAAGTTGTCTGGAAGGATTTAAAGAAAAGTTGAAAAAGTTGCAAAATATATGTGGAAGTTAAGGAAGGGCACATGAAAGGAGCTTGCACATTCTTAAGGACTTACCACAGAGCTTGCAACTTCCATAAGGAGATTAGTAAAATCTGTGTTAGACCACAGGCAGAATCCCAGACAGCATGTTGCAAAATAGGAACTCAGACAAGCTGCAGGGTGCTGCTCAGGACAAGGTGTAAACGTGGGCATTGTGAGGAGCGTCCTCTGTAGACCCCAAAGTCCCCACTGACCCAGCTCCCTACACACTGAGTGTTGAGAACGTAGACAGGACAAAAAGGCCTTTGCCTGCAGATCTTATCATCTAACTCTTGGCTTTTGATCTTCTTACCTTGCACCCTGCCTGGATTGGCCAGGTGGTTTAGCAGGAAACAAAATGTCATATGAAATGAGCTGCAGTGCAAGATGCACACAAGTGACATCTGCACCTTTCCAGACCAACCAAACACTTGCAACTGTGACAGGCTTCACAGAAGGCAAAAAGCCTCTGAGGCAGAAGAGTAGGATGGTTTCTTTTTCTTTTTAAAACAAGACTTAAATCTCTTATTTGTTACAGATCTAAGTCAATGGAAATATCATGTATTTATACGTGAGTCACCAGGGCAGTGATTCATCCTCAACAAAAGAACAGCACAGAGGGAGGGAAAGTGATTGTGAAGAAGCTAATTAAGATTATCACCTGAAAGCCAAAACCAATTGTAAAGACCTTTTATTGGTAAAATGTTAAAGATCTAACAGAGTTTTGTGTTTCTTTACCCTTTTCCTTCTAAAAGAGGAAAAAAAAAACTTCAGCAAAGCAGTCTGGGGAGATATAAAGAGGGAGGAGGTATATTTTGTGATAAGCCTCAAACAATGTTCTTGTTGAGCATTAGGCAGTGAGCCTGGAAGAAGATAAAACCCCTTGATAAAGCAAGAAATTCTGCAAAGACAGCACTGGCTCCCATAGCTGAGACAAGAATTAAGACGACCCACATGCACACACACACAGTACTGAGACAGGAGGAACTATCTATAGAGTTTTATCCACATTCAACATGTAGGGCCTATACTGTTCCCCAAGTATTTTCATAAAACTCACAGCAAAAAGCACAGACTAAAACTTATTTGTGTGGGTCAGTTAATCGGATGGGTTTGGGGAAAAACGTCTCCCCAAGCTTGAGAGGATTAAGTGTCCAGGAAGAAAAAATGCAAAAACACCACAACATTTGCTTCATCACCCTATTCTTATTTTTAGATGCTACTTGACAGATGTGTGCTGGTGCCAGCTGAGAGCCCCTAATATTGTTCAACATGTGGTTTCTGCTGTCTTGCCTGACTCACAGGTCCCTGTGTGACCCCATGGACTCAACCAAGCTGTTCCATCCCTGAAGCAGGAAGACAGGAAACATACATGGACAGTTTGTGAAAGAATGAAAATTACTGAGGGTTGGTCTGCATGTGAAGATGCTTCTCTACTAACAAATGGTGACAACCAACCACCAGACATAGAAAAATCTTCCAAGAGCCATAGCACCAAAACGGTCAGTCCCTGTAGACTTGCCAATCTCAAAAGGAAAGGCCACAGTAAGTGGAAAAGACCTTGGGTGGTATATGCTAGGCTCCAGAAGCATGAAATCAAGCATCATTTCCTCAAAAATAAAGTGCACAAAAGCACTCAGCCCTTTGGAAATATCACCCAAGCGTGCAAAAAACGTTTGTAAAGCACTTCTGACAGCTCCAAAATGCTTGGGTTAGGACTCTTGGGCTTTGACCCTAATTCCCAGATTCTGCTTTAACTGCCCATCACCTTCAAAAGGAAAAGGAAACATACTCACCCTTTGCAAGCTGCACGAAGCCAAGAATGATAATCAGAGCCAGGGCCAGCAGCTTTGCTGCAGCAAAGGCATCCTGAACACGAGTAGCAGCTTTCACACTGTAACAGTTCACAGCTGTGAGGAGCACTAGGGGAAGCAGACAAGGAGAGATCCATCAGTTCTCAGTAAAACACTTGAAACACAAACCAGATTATGACAAATTGGCAGTTGCTTTTTGCTAAAACTTCAGCAAACACAAGGAGTCTCTTCTTAGAACAGAAAATTTTCAAAAGCGAGGCCCTGCAGCCACTAACTTCTCTATTCTGACTTGTTTTGGCCACAGGTGGTCTAAGCAGTGCATATACTCCTTGGGACTGTTCCTTTTTTTTCCCCTGTTCACCCATCACCCTCCTCTGTATCTCTTCAGTGTGGCACTCATACCAGGCAAGGGACACTGAACAAGGCCCAGCAGTCAGATGCCTTTGTTACTGCTCAGCCAGAGCACCCAGGGTCTGAGGAACCTCAACACATGCACAGCATCACAGGGAAAACTACAACACAACCCAGCTCTTGAAGCAAGATTATCTCCCAGCTACAGGCTGGCACCCAGCTGAGCATACCCTGAACACACACATGCACGTGAAGGACACAAGCACAGCAGGTATTCACTAGCTCACCTCCAAGGTGAGATGGATGCCCAGAACTGGCAGTGCCTGCCTTGGCTCTCTGGCTTGCAGCAGGACCACGCACTGGAGCTCGCCAGCTTGGGGCAAAGGCAGGTTCCTGCAGCCTCACCCCTGCCTGCCAGCAAGGCCTCAGCACACTGCTAACTGAGAAACAAAACCACGAGAGGAAGGAGGGGTATTTGAATGTCTGAAAGGGTCTCAGTGGCCCATTGCCACCTGCATCATGCCCTGCCAGTGAAAAAGCAACTGCACTGCTAGGAGTTCAGGGAAGTGCATGCAGAGCCCATGCCAGAGCTGGGAAGAGGCTTCCTGGGACACATGGGCACAGATAGGCTCAGAAATGTACCCTCAGGCTGGTTTCAGAGAGCTCGGGCTTCAGGGGCTGCAGTTTCCGGGTCTGACAGCCATGATCAGACTCTGTGCTCCTGCTTGAGCGAGTGCCAAGAGTGACAGGAGTTCCTGGTGACTCAGAGCACTCAAGCAAGAGGGGACACGAGTTGCATCATTCATTCACAGGGGTCAGAGCTACATGCATCAGGCTTGGAGCAGCAGCACTCTGCAGCAGCACTCAGCAGGCCAGCACTAGTGTGGGTTTGCAACACTGCGATGTATCTGCCTCCAACCCACGTGCTAAAACAGACACTGTCCAGATATACAGGGGGGAGAAAATAAAGGTGAGCAAGGTCAGCTTACAGTATGTCTATGCTACAGGGGGCACAGAAGAAAGCACAGTGATGTATCACCAAACAGAAATGACGATTCATCTGCTAAAAACACCTCTGGTGAATCCTAATGGGGAGGACTGGAAGGGAACCGAGGATCCAGGATTCACTTCGACCAGTGATTATGCTAAAAATAAAGCTCTCCTTGTTTACAGAGGGATATTTAAAGGATGAGCTAACACATCTAAAAGGACACTTTTCCCGTTAGTGAAGACAGCCCTTAGAGGTGTGACAGTGACATTCCCTTCCCCATTTAGGCATTCTGTTTCTTTGACAATAGCTGTTCTCTTCATGTTCTGGTTCTGGAGAGCCTGCTGGACGGACCGTGCCATGGTGCTGCTGTACATAAAAGGAAAAAGCTTTCTACACCATCCAAAACTGAAAAGAAATGGAAGCATCTGTATTCAGCTGTTAAAAACAGACTGGTGCCAGATAAACAGGCTCTGTAAAAATAAGAAAACACTTAAGGACAGAGACTCTGAACACCAGTTGTAATTCAGACCCCCTCAATCTTTGCTTTTCCCACCGTGTTATAATATTTGTTTTTCCTAAAGGAGTGTGGTAGAGTTACTACACTTAAGTGTTTTCAACCTAGGAAGGGCTTAAAAAAAACACACAACAAACCCCAGTCTCACTCATCAGAAAAAATCCTCCTACACGCACAGAGATGAAAAGACAGACCAAGTAGTTTTTCAGTAAAATTCCAAGACAAATTCCAGTGGCTGCCCAACTTCTCAGGAGACTAGAGGTCTAGAGTTTCTTGAAGCATAGGGTTTGTTCTTTGATCTGAGATGCTACCCTGTGAAGCAGAGGCTGGGGGACTCCTCCCTGGCACCTCTCCAACCCCTTGGATGAACTGCTCCACACCAGCAATGCAGGGAAGCTGCACAGCCACAGCTTTACTGCAAATTGAGGCAATAAGACAAGGCAGGGAGGGACCAAAGGCACTGCCCTAATTTCTGTAGCATCTTTTCTAAGGCTCCAGCCACGGGCTGTTGTCAGGAGCCAGCTATGTAGCCAGACCTTTAGCATGACCCACAGAAATCATTCTAGGAATACAGATTTCAGCATGACCGGACATGACACAGTCCATTGGATCCAGCTGCCCCTCTCCAGAGGCTTTACATAATTGGGATAATAGGAGCTAGAAAGCTGCAGTGATTGCAGATGTAAGAGGGAGGTACTTCATTCGTTATGACTTCTGGCGGAAGAAGAAATGATACTGGATTTTGGCTGCTGTAAGAGAGGACATGCTCACAAGGTGCTGTTCAGTCCTTCATCTCTTCTGGCGAGAAGATGAGCTTCATTTCCAGATACTCCAGCCACAAGGGAAGCCAGAGGCTTTCACAGAGAAATCTAGCTTTGTAAAGACAGCAGTGGGGACAGCTCTGATTATTTCCTGTCCTAGAGCCCCAACTGGCTTCAGGCATGTCACTGAACCTGCTCCACTGGCACTCACCTGCAGTCAGCTAAATTTCCCCATTACTGATAGGAACCCAGGATAAGCTGACTAATAATACAACACAGGACCCAGAACCTTTCTCCCTGTCCCCCTTCACAATTTGTGGCCATAATAATTTGATCTCCCAGTCCCAAGCTCCCTCCCAAACACAACTTCTGGATGATAAAAGGATAAATCCTTACAAAGCAGACACAGAAAGGGATCATGGCAGTTCCCACATAGAACAGGACCATGACAAACACAGCATATGTAGCAACAGCTCCTGTGTCTACAATGGAAAGACAGGATGTAGCAAAGCTGCTCCGCAGGCTTGTGTTCTGCCTAGAGCAAACATTACATGAACAGAGACCTAACACAGGTAACCCAGGACTTGGCACTCATAATGCAACACTCTTGGCAATTATCCTACAGAAAAAGGCAGGGCAGCAGCTTTCCTGGGTAATGGAACATGGCCATGGATGGGAGATGGAGTGAAGGGGGGCTCGGGGGGGAGGGCTCTGTTTGAGGAAAAAACCAGACAAGCAGCTGATCCACAGCTCCAAGCACTTATCACTCCAGGGGAAAAAGGATCCAGTTCCAGCTGTATATGTAATTTGCTCATGGCAAGGTGGGAGTTTGCTCAACCCAAGACCTCTAGCAGCTCCTCAGGTTAAAACATGATATGGGTGCAGGAATTCTTGAGGGACTGGCACAGCTGCATTCATGGTGTGTGTACCTTGGGAGCCTTGCACAATGTCCCTTCTGTCCTTTATTTAATCTTCTATAGCTTCCCTAGTCTTCACCTGTCAGTGGTTCCCCTAACATTCAGTATACACCTCTCTAAAAAGGTTAAATGTAAGGAGACTTGTTTCCAAGAAGTAAACTCTGCTCACTTGCTGCAAGATACCCAAGGATTCCTATTTGTGCTCTTAGAGGACCAGAAGGAGAATACATATTTGGGTAGCAAACTTTGGGAAGGGGAAGAATGAAAGGAAATCTGCCACCTCAGCTTCCCTCGCAGGAAAACAATGACTGTAACACTTCACATGTTGAGGATGACTCATGTACTGATTCCTGTTTGTAACTCACACACTTCCAAAGCATTTAGCCCTTGTAAGACGACACTTCCATTCACCATCTGCCACTGGATGACACTGATTGTCTCTCCACAATCACTTACAGAACAGTTTTCAGATCCCTTCCATTTCCCCATCTTACAGTAAAGGCTGCTCCTTACACAATTTATAAAGTCCAGATGACAGACACAGCAGTTTTGTCTTCCACCAGAGACAGTGCAAGCAGGTTTCAAACAGAGACAAGCTGAGCCCATAGTCAGCAAGAAGCAACCTGCAGGGATGACAGCAGCATGTGGCACCGACACAAAATGGTCCACATGTTTTAAAGGTACTATTTAAATGCTACCTGTGTCCATGAGAGGTTAGACACACTGAAAACAGAGTTGCTCCACAGAGCACAAAGAAGGAATTACACTTTGCTGATTACAGTGGTTTAAACCATGGGGACATCAATGCCTTAGCTATTCACTAAGGCCACAAAAATCCCCACTTTATATTCAGGTGGATATGATGCCACAGGGTCTTCCAGCAGCCTCAGGTGTCTGTTTCTAATAGCACAGTCCAACATGAGACATACATACAAGGACATGCACAGAAAACCATTTGGGAAATTTCAACTGGATAGATATTGAAGGAAGAGTTGTGCCCTGCAAGGTGGAAAAGGCAGAAGGAAAACCTCTGCAGATACTTCTTCAAGGACAAGTCCCTGGTCCTGAAACACTCTGAAAAGGGAGCTGGAGAAGACAGAGCAAAGCTGGATGATGCCAGCATTTCATCCTGTAGCAGAACTCCCAAAAGCATCCACATCCTCAGGTTCCCAGAATTCTTGCAAGAATAAACTAACAAGCACTTACTTGCCAACTGTCTCTCATGAGCTGTGCCAACCAGTGCAGCACAGTCAGGGTGAAAAGGCAGCACCAGGACTGCCCGGAGGAAGAGCTTGCTAAAGAATTTAATTGTTTGCAGATTCTGTAGAGGCTGATCTGCAGCCTACAGAGAGGCACCCATTGCTTTGGTACCAAGGTACCACAGTAACAGAGGCAAAGTTCACACTATTCAAACTGTGTGATGCATGAAAATGCAGAATTTATTAATGCTAAGGGAGCCAACTTCTAGCCAGTGGCAGAAGTTACCAAACACAGACTTGGCAAGGGGAGAAAAAGGTATAATCTCTTCCATTCCCAGCAAATTAAAAGGACTGCAGAGCTATCACAGGCCAAAA